TTTTTTTTTTTTTTTTTTTGGGTGTTTGAATTCTCACCAGAGTGTTGATCACTTTGCTTCTCAAAGACAGGCGTGGCCCACTGGGCCCACACAAGTGATTAGTGAAATGGTTGTCCCCATTGGTGTCAAAGACGTTTGAGCATGTTCGGTGAAACTTTTTAGAGCTTGTTTGGTATGATTTGTGAGAGTTTTAACTTTTTTGAGTATTATAAGTGATAAATTTAAATTTTTATTGGAGAAAAAATAAAATTTTAGCTTTTAAAAATGTGAAAAAGTAAGTAAAAAGTAAATAAAAATGAAGTTTATAAAAATTTTAAATTTAAAACTTTTAAATTTTTACTGTTTAAAAATTTTTTAAAATTAAAAAAATACTTAAAAATATAAATTTTAAAAAAAATTAAATTCATAAAATATAAATAGTATCAAAAAATTGAATCTCTCACAATCCGTACCAATCAGGCGCTCGAAGGATTCCTTAAGTCTAAAAGCATAAAATATACCAAACACCCAGACGTTCCATACCAGCTTGCGCTGTTGGGAAGCTGATTGCCTGATTCTAGCTTCTTGCTTTTGAAATTTGGAGAAGTGCGGGTGCTTCTCGGACATTTTAAGGAAAATTGCCCAATGTTCCCATTTTACCCTCGTATTTTGTCCAATTACAAGAAAACCACTAAATGTGGAAGATCATTTATAACATTTGACCAAAAATCCCTAAATTTTTTCTGCACTCCTCAACGTCTCCTCCATCTTTCTCCAATCTCCATCGTGTTTTAGTTATCAGCAAAAATGGATGCTTGTTATAGACTCTTCTGCAGCGACTAGTTTTATAACTAACTGAAGTATTAAAAGGTAGATTTGAGAATACCATGTGCCGGAGTAGGGGAACGGAAGCTACCGTCCCAAAGAAGAATCACGAGAGTCTGGGAATGGGAGCTGTCGTTGCCAGAGAAGAGTTGCGAGATTGGAGGTGCCGTCACCGAATTTTTTTTTATTTTTTAGAGAATAGCAGCATCTTAGACTAGGGATTTGGATTTGGAGAAGAGGGGTTTCGTAGAAGGTTAATCTCTGCTTTGTATTTTATCTAATATTATTAAAATGCCATCGAAATGCCAGATAGTCGATTAAGATTTGAGTGGATCTCCATTTTTCACGATTCCACTCCGATCATATCCAATCTCTGCTCTGGGATGATGTTGCTTAGCCAAATCAGACATTGTTGTGCTCCATAAGGCATCCTCTTTGAAGCTTTTTCCGTTCTTCATTGAAGAGCTACATCGGCGATCTCTTTGGGAATCCGATCTAGCTATTCCAAGGATGCCTTTTGTTGAAGCGTTTCTCTGATGATAATCTTGGGATTGGTCGCTCCTAACTAGAGTTTTATGTTTTTATTCCTTGTGTTCTTTATCCTTTTTGCTTAATTATGATTCATCATATTCACTAAGGCTTATTTTCAGAGAACATGTATTGCTATGGCATGGTTGCAACTTGCAAACTTGCAGATTTTGTGATGCCTTAGCCTTCTTTCTCTTCATCGTGAGCATGAAGTTAATGAAAAGCAAAAAGAAGCAGTTCACTCTTTTAGGACTACATTTTTGTGTAAGATGTGCCAGTCAATATCCATATCCAGTTACAATTTCCATTTTAAGAATTATATGTACTAGGAAAATGTTCCTTACTGAGATGTGATTCTTATTTAGATTGATAGTTACTTAATTTCTTTTGTTTTAAGTTATCATCAATTATGGTTAATTTTCTTGTGAAAGGTAACAAGCTGATACAGAGTTGTGAGGAAGGTGATTTTTAGAACTTTGAAGCTCCTCTTTTGGGGTTTTCCGTTATGGAGTTAGTTTTTTGTTTTCTATTTTCTCGTCTTTTATCCTTTCTTACTGATATTAGAGATTCATTGAGAACAACAATAGAAATCAACTATGTTGAGCAATATTTTTTGTGATAGTAATTTTGTACGGTTATGTTGTGAAAGGGGGGTAGGGGGGATGTTTCTCATTCTTCTTGACAAACAAGCATGTAAGGGGTTGATGTGAAATTGATAAGGTTGTGTGGAGGAATTCTGTAGTAATTTTCTTCATTGATTTTGTTAGCGCTGAGCAAATGATTCAATTCTTATGGCTTCATCTATGTTGTGGTTTAATTTACTATTGGCAGATAATAGCTCTTGGGTAGTGGCTATATTGGAGATCTTTCTAAAAGATGCAGCAAGAAAAGCCTCTGGTCAGTTATCTACACTCAACTAATAACGTAGGCAATGATGAATACATATTAGCTTCTTCTTGGTCATAGAATCATGTTGTGTCCTATTGGTTGATTTTTTTAATAAGATTCTGTATGTCATAAATCTACGAGGCAGTGGGTGCGTGTGCACTTAATATTTACTCAACTATTATTTATGGGCTGTATGTTCCTGATTGGCAATTTACCGTACTTAACAAAATGAGTGCTTATCATAGGAAGATTTTCACTGTAATCCCTCTGTTGCCCTTATTGCCCTTATCTTATGCTACAGAGCCTTAACTTCTCTTTACATGAAAGCTACCTGTTTGATTTTGAAACGCTCTCTGGACAGGGTTAACACTTTATTCATCAATTTATTAAGAAGTGACAGAATCAATATATTTAACCGTTGGGGTAAAGGTATTTATAACAAGAAACAGAATCTAGTGGGATTTAAGTCTTATTATGGGTATTAGACAGTTTTGTAGTATCAATAATCTTGAATTTTTGTTCTCTTTTGTTTCTAGGAAAAGAAATCTGGTTGCAGACTGGGCGACTTGTTCATGTCTTCAAGGGCAATGTCCTTCATATTGGGCACGTAGGCCTCCTAATATATTGTTTTCTTTGTTAATTCAAGATGGTCTGTGCATTTAATGTAAATTATATTTAAATACTATATACAATTTCCAATTTCTCAAAAAAATAAAAAAACCTCAGCAACATAGGCATGATATTCTAATATTAAAATATGATATTGACCTGTTCTAATATAACTTTAAGGTGAATTTTTTTTCATCCTAGTTATAACGTGGTATGTTTTATTTTTTAATATTAAAATAAAAATATTTATTTTGTATTTATATTTTAAAATATAAAAAATTAATTTTTAATCAACCTTAAAATAATTAAAAAATTAAAATTATACGAAAATAAAAAATGAAGTGAGAGTGGTGCTTCTGTAAGTAAAAAAATATTTATCTTAATTATATTAGCATTATATTTGATTAAAAAATCTTTTAAAACAAATATATCAAACAACTTTTCACTCTGAAAATATTTCTGTAAGAACTTTTATTAAACATTTAATTTATCGAAAGCAGGATTTTTATGAAAGATTCTTACGAGTAAGATTTCTATAAAAAACTTTAGTTACACTAAATAGGCTCCAAGAAGGATGCAGCAACGCTGGCTACAGTCCACTGTCAGCGCATGTTCTTGTGGAAGAAAATGGTTCATCGCAAACATCACGATTCTGTGGAGGATTCCGTACGTGGCACAAATGCTGTATAGGACGTTTTCCCGAATTATCATGCCTTGAAAGGATATTTGTTGACCTTTTCTTTTTTGTACAGTATGAAAACCGCATTGACCGTACGTTAAGTTACTCAACTTATAGGATCGTGTCGTCTTTTTGTCTGTGTTGTCACTATAAAATGACAACTAAGTTTTCTATGAGAAATTTGTAGATGGCGGACAGATTCTTAATATAAGCTTGCGATTGGCCTTTATTCTTTGTGTTGTCACTAGAAAGTGACAGCTAGGTATTTTATGAGGAATTTGTAGACGGCAGACAGATTCTTGATATGCGCTTGTGATTGGCCCTTTAAGTTTTCGATGAAAATTTTGTAAAATAAGAAAGGCGCTAGAACTTAGTCAAGGACTGGAATTGGTCACCAGGGTGCGGCACTCCAACACTCAGCAAAAGAGACCGATTCATGAAGGAAAACTCTATGCATGCATGGTTGAGTGGACAACTAAAATAGAAAATACTTTTCATAAAAAATTATTTTCCAATATAAAGTCATTTTTGTGAAGAAAACAGATCCTGTTTGTTTTTCATAATCACCCTTAAGATTTTGTTTGGTACATCAGATGATAAGTTATATAATAAAAGATAATATATTTATTTTTTTAAATTTTTCTTCACCTATTTTAAGATTTGAATTCAAGATCTGCAACTTAAATTATCAAAATTTTAACTATTTAAAATATTGCTTAAAAAAGGTTAATCAACCCCAAGTTGTTGAGTAAACCCTTTCACCACTAACTTGGCCAACGGCAGAGCGACGAGGAGAGCAGGGGGCTATCCCTTGGTCTTTTGAAACATTTTCAAATTAGTCATCAAATTTTGTATTTTAAGAATTTTATCCTTAAATATTATTTTTTTATGTAATTATTTTTAATATTTATGAAAATAATTATCATTACTCTTTTTGTAAATCTTGTCATTAAATTCAAAATAAAATGTTGATATAACAATTAGTAATCCTTTAAGTTAATTAACCTATATTAAATATAAAAATATCTTTTTATCTCTAACATTTTTTGCCAAAAAAATAATAAGAAAAATTTTAAACTTTTAACATTTCTTTGTTTCCTTTCCTAGAAAAACCTTAAATCACCACCTTAGTAGTTCTTAAAATTAATCGAAAATATTCATTTTTGTTACTAATATCTAATTTTTTTTATAGGTCAAATATTAAAATTTCATCACTAACTCATAATTTTTTATTGAATCAAATTTGTTTATTTTATTTTGTGATTTGCTATATGAATTTTTTATATGTTTCTAAATTTATTACATTTTTTAGATGTGTTTTATTATATATATTTTTTCAACAAATACAACTAGATAATTATTCACTATATATCTAAAATTTCAAAGAACAATATTTTTCATGGAGTATGGCCAAATTTGATTTTAGATACAAGTTTACAAGTTTAAAACCATATTACTTCTTTTGGTCTTTTTTAGTTGCTTAACTCCATCAATTTTATATTAATTAACTTAATGATTTTATATAAATGAATTAATGATAACTGAAAATTTTCTTTAAGTAAAAGCATTTAACAACCATTATGTTGGAAATTTTTTTGACAAAACTTCTCAATCAGTCCCTCAAAGAGATAGGTAGGGATAGATTCATCTTTCAAAAAAATGTAAGGACAAATTGTCCCTTCAAACTATTGATTAAGACAAATTACTTATTTTTTAATGTATGATGTTAGAATTTTGTTTGCTATGTACTGCTAGAATGCATAATATTATTGACAAAAAATTATGTCAGCACTTTGCAACTTGAACCACGTCGGTAATATACCTGTTGGTGAAAGTCCCCTTGGTAATCCATCCAAGTCACGTCGGTAAATTGCTAGAAATTACCGACTAAAGCATGTCTCTAACCCTCCAGTCGGAATAGTACTCTCGGGGAACTTTCTCACATGGGTAAAATAACATCAATAACCGACCAGAATGTTGTCTACAACTGTCTCACCAGAATAGTACTGCTGGGGCTTCTCATGTTGCTAAATTACCGACGAAGCTAATGTTTGTAATATATATATATATTTAGAGTAATGATACAAGCATCAATACTTGCAGGACGAATTTAAGGGGCGACTTACGTGGCTTGCCACGCACACAGACCCCAACCCCACTTGCCACGTAGACATACACACCTATAAATTTATTTTTGGGAGGGACGATTTGTAAAAGGAGTTTTCCTTAATCTCTAATTCTAAATCTCATTGAAAACCAGTAGCTCATTTCACTTCCTATTCCTGCGTTGCCTTGCATCTCTATTCTATGCCAAAGTTGTTTTTTTTCCGGCATCGATTTGGTAAGTTCCATCGAAACCAAACTTATTTGATTTTTTCTATTGACTCTGAACTTGCTTTATTTTTACATGGGATTTGGGTTGATTTCTATGTGGTTTTGATCGTGAAAACTTTTAGGTTTTGAATCATGTTCTATTTTATGGTTTAATTTGATTTATAGGTTTGATTTTCTTGTGGCTTTAA